TAGTTTTGGAAAATATAGCATCCTCGTATTTATCTATATAAAATATAAATTTGGATTTTCGTAATTATTTGAATCTTGATTGGGTTTTTCCTATATAATTTTCTTTTTCTAATTGGATTAAATAAAATATATATATATAGGGATAGAAAAGGGTGAATTCTTGATTTGCAGAATTCTCTATTCTTTCTAAAATTGATGTGAAGGAGATATGAAGATCATATCTCTCTAAATTTCAGATAAAAATTGATATATCTTCGAAAATGATTATATTTGATTTTGATTTTATTCGATTATAATTCATAAATAAATGAGAATTTCGTCAATTGAAATAATTGAGATATTATTATTTGATTTCTTTATAGGAATGCTAGAAGGAATTATATAAATATTGATGATTCTTTTTCTCGAAAGAATGACTTATGAGAGGATATTGGATTATGAATTCGTTTGTCTTTATGAATTTGATTCGGAAAAAAAATATATTGATTTATGGAATAGAAATGATGAATATAAGATTTCTTTTTTATTATGATTTATAAATTGAATTCTTATATGATTTTTTGATCGATTTAGTAGAATTTTTCATGAAATGATATGAAAATTAATGAAGATTATCTACGATGATATTTCTTAAATAAATGGAAGTCGCAAATAGAGGTCGAGTAATTCTAACGTATTACGGAGATAATACAAAAGATTAATCTAAATTTGGATATTTTCGTATTTAGATTCAATTCTGGATATTTTTGATTTGGCAACCGGACACTATATTTTGCGGAAGTAATATAATATATATATTCGAATATTATCTATATATATGGAAAGATGAAAATAATAGATACTTATCTTTTGATTTTCAATTTCTAAAATATTCTAGAAGCAATATTCATATTTAATCTGAGATTTAGCCGTCGATAGGATATTTTATTATGAATTTGAGGATTGAAAAGAAGATATAATTGAGATATCAAATATAATTTTCGATATAATATCTCAAAAAAATATATTATTTATTTCGAGCATCTGCATCCTAAAGCTCTAATTGGAAGCTGTAATTGGATAAGAAATATAATATTTCCTGGAAAATTGGGGAAATTCTGCGGTTGGGCATTATAGGGATCCTTGTTGGCAGGAATATTTGGTATTTGGGCGTTATAGGGATATTATGCGAATGAGTATTATAGGGATATTCTGGGAATGGATATTATAGGGATATTCTGCAGCTGGGCATTGCAGGGATATTCTGGATTTGGGCATTGAAGATATTCCGCGGTTGGGCATTATAGGGATATTCTGCGATTGACCATTATAGGGATATTCTCAGGGATACTCTGAAATTGGGGATTATAGGGATATATTACGAGATATTCTGTAATTAGGCATTATAGGGATATTTGGTATTTGGGCATTGCAGAGATATTCTGGGGGCGGGGACTACAGGGATATTCTGTGGTTGGACCTTATAGGAATACGTTATCATTGAGCATTGCGTTCAGGCGGACGAGGATAATATAGATTTTAAAATCCAGAAATCTCATAACGAGGGAATGGAATGATCGTAAGATTCATTAAGATATCCGCAGGATGATAATTTATTGAAGAATTCTATAGATCTCATCAAGAATCATATTATTAAGGATGATATTTCTTCCAAATATATGATAAATAAATTCATAAAATCTAAAATCCAAAATAATTTTGAAGATGAAGATATCTCCTATATATCATCTTATATTTGAATATTATTTATCAAATCGTAGGGAAAGAAGATTATAGAATCTAATATTAGATAGATAAATTTCAAAAGCATGATCTAGTAGAATCCGATTCTATCCGTCTGCCTAGAAAATGGAAATAAAATTGGAAGATCCGTTTATGATGAATTGATGAGCAGAGAGAAATTCATTGATAATCTTATGAAAGGAGAATATTCCAATTTAAATCAAATCTTTAGGCCGAGATTCTCAAATTCAAATTCTCATAAATCAAAGAATTGCCCAAATTTCTCTGAATTATAGGAATCTAATTTATTCTCGGATAATCTAATCAGAGAGGAATCAAGATTTCAATCAATGAGATCGTAAATTGATATCTCTCTTCCGTATTTCTCAAATCAATCTGCGATAAATTTAATTTCTCAGAAGAATCTTTTCGATAATTGATAATAGAGCCTAAATCGTCGATAATATTGAGGAATATAATTTGGAATCATTGATTATCTATGATTTTTTTCATCTAGAATATTCGCATATCTGATATCATATCAATATAAGAGGGAAATCAAGAAATATCTTGGAATAATTCTATCCAAATAATTGCGTTGAGATCAATCTATATATATCTGAAATAAATGAAATGCGATATATTGTTGAATCTAATCATGAAGGATTTTGAATTTTGAATATTCGTTCGAGATCCGATTTCATAATTCAATATCAGTCAATCAAAAATTCGGAGATCTATATATCGAGATCTTCAAGCTATTATATTATAAGAAGTTTCAATTTAAATATCTACGATATAAAAAATCTTATCCTCTTCAGGGAAATTGGTTCTATTAAGAAGATAAAGAATATCATTATTGAGAAGATATTCAAATTTATATTCATCGATAATACGAAATTCTTCTTAAAAAGATTTCAAAATCTCATTGAATTTCTTCTTTTTAAATCTATCGTCTATCTATTCCGGAATAAAATAGATATTATTCCTCCTAATATTAATTCAAATCATTTCTTAAAGGCAATTTAAGATAACGATATCATCATGAAGATCTTTTCTTGATTATATGAATTAATAAAAGAATCTTCGTCAAAAATCAAATAGGAAGGAATCTCGTAATCTTGATCAAAAAATCTAGTAGAGGAGGGAATTTATCTATAATATTCATCTAAAAAAATTGAAATATGATTCTATTAAAATTATTTATATTATCTTTCTAGAAGAGGATGATTTCAAGAATCTTCGATTACGCCTAATCCAATCTGGGGAAATACGGATCATAATTTCAAATCCTCTTGAGATTCCAATAATCAATTATTGCGGAAGCAAGCTATTACGAATGATAACGATATCAAATATGAAGATATATTTGAAAATAAATTTCCGGCAATCGTATTCTATCATATGGACCTAGCATCTTGAATCCAAGAGATAGATTTATTTTCTTTATGAATAAGATCAATATTTTCAAGAATATCTCCTCCCAGAAGTCATGAATTCAATATCTCCGGAATATCTATTATAGAAAATATACGTAAAAAATAAATATAGAAATGATAATTTCGCATCGTCAATTATTGATAATGAAAATAAATCAAGAAGAATATTTCATCTTAGAATCTCGTAATATTATCATTCTCCTATATCATATCGGATTCAATATAGCAATATTTTAAATCCAAATATTGAGAATTTCATTTTTATTAGAGAAATATATATTCTAAAAAAAGAAATATGAAAAATATCATATTCTTTGAATGGCTATTGATCAAAATCACGTGCCCTGAGTGCACGTTCCTATATTGTCTGATCCGAGGAGTCTCGATTGCATATTTGATCCGGAAGATATGGAACGATGATTGAGATTTGATGATTCCCATTATGATATAGGATGAATCTGGATTTAATATTCTATTTGATCTGGAATAGTTATAGATCAGGCATATATCGGGTATGCAATGGATATCCAATTCAATATCATTTTTCAGCTATTAAATTCGATGATCTGGAAGGAAGGGGTCTAGAGTATAATTCGGGCACTTGTTCCGGAGCTCTGGAGGGGGGGCGGCTCTGAATCGAGATACGTATTGGCCCTGCCGCCGGACCTTTCATATTGAATGCTAGCCAAACCTATAATTATCAAAAAATACAAAATAATATCTTATTTATTCGAATCTATATTATCTCCAAATCTTATAGAAATGAGAAAAAGAAATGAATCTATTTAATGATTAAAAAATCGTATTATTTTCGGAATAGAATCGATGAGAAATATCGGTTAAGAGATATGAATCCAAGTTCTAAAATATATTAATCGTAATAGAATAAAAATAGAAATAGATTTTATAATATCTCAATATTCGACGAATGATTCTATATAATGAGAAAGATATTATCAATCGAATATCTTCTGAAAATCTATAGAATTCTATTTAATATCCAAAAAAATATTCGACCTATTTTTCAATATTGCATATATATATATATATCATTTATATCATGAATTCAAAATCAATAGAATCTCATATCAAAATATCAATTCATATTTATATATATATATTCATAAAAATCGGTTTTATAATCATCTCATAGAATAGTTAATTGAAATGAATACGAATATTAAATAAGAAATCGGAAAATAATTCAAAAATATTAGATCAATATCAATAAATTCAATAAAAGATAGATAATCTATTCGATGAATTAATAAATCGATATTCATAAATCGTAAGATCTCCAAATCGATAATTCATCAGAATGATAGATAATCAGAATGACAGACCAAAATACGGAGAGATTGACAGGACGGTATTCCGATTGATTGAATATGATATTGATGCCCGGGGAGAAGGGGGTCGCAACCAAAAATATCCGAAATTTTCGATCGCCCCCATAGCCCCAAAAGAATGGTTCAGCGCGGGCGATATAGCCATGGCTCCACGGGTTTATTGAGATATAAAGATTCCAATGCTAGAAAATCCAGAAAAATCTGAAGAATGGGTTTAATCGATCGTTGATTAAATTTGCGAAATCCGTTTCTTTTAATTGTGTATCCTCTGGTGATGCGAATATATTCATGTAAGATTGACGGGATCAATCTCTGATTATTATTTGGATTCTATGTTCATCCTTTGACCGTGGTTTACATCATATATATCCATAGAATCTATTTACGAGATTGAGACGAGAAGACAAACATGTTTTCAATTATATAGACTTGTATTTTTCAATTGATTACCTAATATATCTGATGATAATTTTGATTTTCTCCTCCCAAATCAGAAGCCAGTAATGAAGAGTTCGCTGGCGGTCTCAGCAAGGGCCATCATCGCTCTCGCTGTCGCCTCTAGCTGCTTGTGCTGGTCCGGAGACATGACCTGCCATCATTAGGTTGTCCTACATTGCTGTCATTGTTAGTATTATTATTACTATTACTATTATCATTGCTACTATTATTACTACTACTAATATTATTGTTGCTATAATGTATCTACATTGCTGTCCATCTTATGGCTCGCTTAAGGCGTCTGCTTTTTTATTTAGGATACCAGACAAGCCCATATTTAACAGATTGGTGTTTCAATTGTCATGGTAAGACCCCAACCATTCGGATTAGCCCTCACTCTCGCAAGACCCTGAACCCTAACCCTAAACCCTGAACGACACACCCCTAGCCCTACACCTATAGGATTGAGAACCTCACTTTTTTGAGCCACGTCGGCCTCACCCGCAGGCACACGAGCAAGACCAGTAGAAGTGGTGTCAGGCACCTGGCCAGGGCAGTCTACGAACCAAAGGTTTGCTAAACAAGAAATACGTCTTCAATCATATTTGGATCCTTCGTCACAAGGTTTGAAGGGATGTTCAAACGCCAGCCAGAAGCCCCAAAACCCTAAAGTACTATACCTCAAATCCAGAAAGCCTGCTTACCGCGTTAAGCCTACAATTGCAAACCATGATGAGCCATGCAGATGGCATGAAAAGAAGCAAGAACGAAGGTCTAGGGTTTAGGGTCCTATAGGGTTTAGGGTTTAGGGTCTAGAGTTTAGGGTTTAGGGTTTACGGTCTACAGTTTAGAGTAGAGCCCCATGCGAAGATCCCATGATCCAGCCCCGGGACTGATACTTGGGGTTTACGGTGCAGGATTTACTTGACCCACGTAGCGCTTGATCCTTTAGGCCCTCGACACTCAAGCATTGAGTCCCAAACCCTTGCACCTAGAACAACACATGTCTGAACCCTAAAGCCCTATTTTTAAAACAGCAAACCCTGTTCAACGTGAATATGCACACACATGTGTAGATACATATGCACACATGTACAAGGAAGAAATCAGACCTGAAGACCCTACGGCCCCAAACGCCCCTGACCTGCTGCAGCTCCAGGCGGGCACCTTCCTCCACAGCCTCACCAGGTTAAGTTACAGGATTCAGGGCTTGGGAGAGAAGGCTTCCGTAAGATGGCGACTTAATTTGAGCTATAGTCTAAACTCCTAGTATCCCCCTTAATAAGCCTATAAATCCCATGTGTAACTTTCCCTGAGGAGTTTAGACTATAACTCAGTCTAAGATCCCCACATGACAGCGGCTTGAAGGATTTCTGGGCTCAGGGTGTAGGGTTCCGAGTGCTGGAGCGAGGGTTTAGGATTTCGGGATTTTGGGCTTAGGGTTTCGGAGATTGGGCCTCGGGTTAAAGATCCGGAGCTTTGGGCTGTAGTTCAGGATATGAAGTCTAACCCTAAACCCTAGACTCTAAACCCTAAGTTGTTGCATTTAGGGTGTCGGCTTCAAGTTTTTTAGGCTTCAGATTGAAGTTTTCAAGTTTTGGGCCTTGGGCTTTGGGTTTGAGTTTCAGCTTTTGGGCCTTGGGTTTAGGATGGGCTCAGCATATGGGTTTCAACCGTTTGGTTCAAGGCCTAGTGTTTCAAATTGCTTGGGTTAGTGCGTAGAGGTTCGGACTTTTGAGTTCGACTTGCTGGAATTCGGATTGTTGGGTGCGGCGTTGAAGGCTTGAGAGTTTCGAATACATTAGGGTTGAGGGCTTAACCCCAACCCTAAACCCTAAACCCTGGCCCCTAAACCGTAAACTTTCAACTCCACACCTTAACTTGCAAGTTATGCAGGGGATATATGGGGATAATGGAAGAGAACATAGAGGTTACTATGATGGGGTTATGTAGGGTTTAGGGTAGCGGTTGAGGGCTTGAGAATCATAGAGCTTGGGAATTAGGGCTTGGTGTCAGGGATCGGAGATTTTGGAGGCTTTACAGTTGATAGGTTTCGCATGTAGGGCTTGGGGTTTGTATTTGCTGTGGATACATGTCGAACGGACCCGCGGACTTTTGACATTGCAAAGAAGCTGTGGCTTCCGAAAAGGCTCTGAGGGATTTAGGCCTTCAGGTTTTGCAGAATGGCAACGACTAAAATTGTTCCAGTCTTATACTCCAAAACCTAAGGATTGCAGCAGTGACATTGTTATACCTGTAAAACTCAGAAGAACCCTGCGACAACTCTGTAGAAGCCCATAGATTCCTTACCAGCTCCAGAATATCCTCTAACACCCTAAACACTAAGACCTAATTCCTGAACCCTCCTAATCCTAAACCCCCAACCCCAATCCTCAAAACCCTGAATCCTAACCCGTAAGCCCAAAATAGGTATAGTCCAAACTCCTAGCATCCTCCTTAATAACCCCTATACTAGACCCCTATATCATCCCTCATATAACGCCGTTTAACGAATTTAGACCCTGAACCCTAAATCCTAAACCCTAAACCTATATAACCTCCTTTTGAGGACTATAGCTGTTTTAGGCGAGGACGCCTCGACCCCAAGCTGCAGCAGAAGCTGCACCCAGGCGGAGAGACAGGCCCCAAGAAGTGGCTCCTGAAAAGCAGCGGAAACGTTTAGGGCTTAGGCTTTAGGGTCTATAGGGTTTAGGCTTTGGGTCTATAGGGTTTAGGGTTTAGGGTCTATAGGGTTTAGGGTTTAGGGTTAGAAACATGAGAGTGATTGTGTAGGCATATAGGGGTTATATTGGGACAATGGAAAAGAAAATGGAAGCTACTATTATGGGGTTACTTTAAGGGCTTAGGGTTGAAGGTTTAGGGATACAGTTTTTGGGCGTATGGATGAGCACGGTTTCGGAGCTGGGATATGTTTGAGTTCGGTGGCTATATCAGAACATATCGAATTTAGGGCGCAGGCATGGCAGAATGGAGTATCAAATGGCAAAGAACACCCGAAACCCTTAACCTTGAACCCTAGACCAAAAATGCTAAAACCGCACCCCGAATGGAGAGTTTGACCCGAGGCTCCGGAGCCCCGAGGTACCGGAATACGTGTCGCAGCTCCCGGATCCTGGAGCAGGGTTTCTAAGGGGTTTGGTTTAGGGTCTAGGGTCTAGGGCTTAGGGTCTAGGGTTTAGGGTTTAGGGTTCGGGTTTCAGGCTCAGGTCAAATTCCACAGGCTTTGTAAAGGGTTGATATATAGACACCCAGAAAACAGCCCCAAGCTTACCCCAAGCTCTAGGAGTCCTCTTCTGGGTGGACAGGGTTGGGGTCTAAGGAGGCATAGGGCTTAGGGCTTACATATTCAAGTCCATCGCAGCTCCTTGCTCACAATATCTTCGCCCTAAAGCCCAAAAGAACGCTTTCTTCGAGCTTACAAGTAAACAGAGCATAGCACTCGTAATATATATACAACATATCCACATCCATATGCAAAAACTGTGCATGTATTTATAAGTATCTATCCTTCCGGATCTACGAATGACAGGGCTTGGGGTTTAAGGATCTACCCTCCTTGGGGCTTATGGCGTATGAGTCTAAAAGTCGAATGTGTAATGGGATAAAAATGGAGTCATAATTGCTTCCATTCTTTTTCCTTGCTGGGGGTTTCAGGGCTAGGTCAGGGTCCAGGGGTTCTTGCTTCAGTGTTTAGGGGAGCTCCGGATGTGAGGCTTCCGGGGGTGGGTCCTGACATCGGAATGCGCCCAGTCCACCACGGTGACGCGCTTGCCGGTGCAGTGGGCACACTCGTTTATGACGAAGAGCTGCTTGACACTAGCTGCGCCTTTTCAAGCACCAGCAAGCAGCAGTTTCGGTTGGCCGGGGTTCATTGATTCATATTCGCATGAAGCCCCGGCGGATTGGGTTTAAGGTCTGGACTTTGGGTGTTTCCGCAGTTTTGGCCATTCAAGTGCCATGCTGGCCAAGTGGTTCGGACATGGGACTTTGACAAAACCTCAACGCTGGCTATTCAGGAAGCACTTCTAGAGATTGCTGTTTCTATTCCCTCTAGAAAAATGTACTTTTCTTGCTGGGGGTTAGTAGGTAAAAAAGGCTTAGAGTATATGGGATTATGCGCCCTCATTCCCTACTACCACTTGTAAATATGGTAAAATTACAGCGTAATAAGGCCTGAAACGCCAACAGTCAATTTCTCTAAACCCAACAGCTGTTGATCTTTGGGGTTTTGGATCTTAAGCTCTAAGTTGGCAAACAGCGCACATGAAACTCACCGATTCCGAAAACACACAGGGTTATACGATGGAAGGTACGATAGCAAAATTCAAAGCTCAGGGGCCTTGAAAAACAAGGGACTGAAATCATTTCCGTAACAAGTGAGAAATGCGGAAACCGAAAAGCTTGAAAGTCCTTGTAGGGTCGACAATATCCTTACAAGGGGCCCTGCATACAACAAAGTTCGGCTTCTCCAAAGACTCAGTTCTAAGAGGTCCAAAAACACTCGGACCCTGACGCCAAAGCCTGAATCCAAAACCCCAAATACCCTAAACCCTAATTTCTAAACCCTAATCCCTAAATCCTAATCCCTATATCCCTAAGCCCCAAACCCCTTTACCCTAAACCCAGACTGATCCATGGCGGGGAAGCTGGCACCTTGCGCGGCCAAGGTGTGCAGCTGGTCCGCGAGCTGAAAGAAGCCCTGACTAGAATCAGGGTTTAGGGCTTAGGGTTTAGGATTTAGGGTTTAGGGTTTAGGGGAAAATGCCAACCCCAAACCCCGCACCCTAAGCCCATACACCCTAAACCAGTAAGAGCTTTACAGCTTAGGGTTCAGGAATTGGGCGGGCTTGGCATTCATAATTTCCTGCCTTTAGATGCCGACGCAATACCTTCAGGTGAAGAAACATGCCACTCTCTCCCAGCAGCTCCGAAAATGCACCGATGAGCCTTTCCTTCCTTGGATCTTGAGGGCATGGGCCCTGAACCCTAATCCCCAAACCGTAAACCCTAAACCCTAAACCTAGCTAGCCCCGGGCCCTGAACCGAAATCTTGAAAACCCTAGGGGATTCAGGGGATACCCTAACCCAAAACCCTAAACACTAAACCCAAAATCCTAACCCTGAAACCTACACCCATGGGGAAGTTCAGGGTTTTCGGGGTTGAGGTTTCCGAGTTGAGGCTTTTTGGTTGAATGTGCTGGGACGAAGAACCAGCTTCAGAATGCCAAATTCAAGGTCCGCATTGGCGTTTAGGGCTTAGAGTTTGAGGTATAGGCTTTAGGGTCTAGCGGCTTTAGGGGTTTGAGCATTTGAGGGTTGGGGTTTATCATGAGCTCCTCTAAAATCCTCCAGGTTCCCTCTCAACTAGGGTCCTGTAAGTACAACTAATCCTTTCAGGGGAAACCCGCGCGGGTTATCAGGGAAAACTAAAAGTAGGAGTTCAGGCTTTCGGGTTCAAGGTTCAAGGTTTAAGGTTCAGGGTTCAGGGTTTAGGCTGTAGGGTTTAGGGTTTAGGCTGTAGGGTTTAGGGTTTAGACTATAGCTTTTAGGGTTTGGGGTTCGGAAGGCCAAGAACATCCAAGCTTCGGCGTCGCCGCCGCTGTCCCGGCCAACAACCCGGCAGCATGCTCTGCAGCCTGAAGCTCTGATTAGGGTTTAGGTTTAGGGTTTAGCGTCAAGGTTCAGGGTCTAGGTTTAGGGTTTCAGGAGTAGGGTTTAGGGTTTCAGGTGTAGGGTTTAGGGCTTAGGGTTTAGGATGAGGGCTTAGGGTTTGGGATCTAGGGTTCACGGGTGAATAAGCTCCTGGAAAGCAACAACCCCAAAACCCAACCCCTGAAACCCTGAAATCCTAAACCCCAAATCCAACCCTCAACCATAAAAACCTAAGACCTTCAACCCCCAAAAAATTACACCCTGAACCCCAGAACCGAGACTTCTAAACACAAACCCAGGAAACTCTATTGAAAGACCTTACTAACTCGAATAAATTATCAAGCCCAAGTCATGATATACATGCCAAAACCCAACACACCCTAAACCCTAAACACTAAGCCCTGGAAACCGCTTAAGATAGCGTAACCGGCTAGAACCCTTCAAGAGCACGCCTATACAAAATCTATACACCATGTTTATTCCTGTAAGTCACGCTATACATCCAAAGAAATCTAAAACTCCAATAGAACTCGTATACAAACCTTGCAAAACCCTGCAAAAACATATAAACCCCATAGAAACCTTGTAAAAACTTGAGAGCTCTGTAAATCCCTGAAAAATGCACTACAAAAACTTGTAGAGCCATGGAAAGAAAACCTGAAATATAGAAACCTTGAAAGAAAACTTACAGAAACAATGCCTAAGAAGCACTGGGCTTCGCCTTCAGAATGTCAATGCAAACGCGCGCTGCCGACGGAGGCAGGTACTTCTCCTTCGGATAGCTTTTGAGGGATTCAAAGACATCATTTTTGGTCCTCTTACAGGGGCTATGCAGGGCTTAATAAGACTTAATCAAGTTTGGGTTACGGGTCTTCAAACGTTTTTAAAAAGTTTCTAGGCGGCCTTATAGGGTGCGTACACGTGTCTTCAAATTGAGATCATGCTTTGGGGATGAAGGCCTTAAGGGTGAAGGGTTTTTAGGGTTCAAGGCTTCGGGGGCGCGAAGAGATTCGTTCCTAAGGCTAAGAGTGCCGCTCAATTCTGAGAATCCATGGTTCAAGGGACCGCATTCGCAAAAATATCCCGCTGCTGACCACAGTAAACCGAAAAACCAAACCCAAATCTTTATATCCATTGATTCGCAAAATTCTGGAAAACGTAAACTTCTTGAAGCCCCGTGTGCCAGTACTCTCTGTAGGGTACAAGATGCACAAAAAGATATAAGAATGAAGCCTCTCATTCTTCAACATCTAACCTGGGATGCCACGTTTTAGGGTATAGGACCCTAAACCCTAAACCCTAAACTCCGGAACCTAAAGAGAAGTCCTGAAATCCCCCAAGCCCGCCAACAGCAAGCCCAGCATCCTCGGCAGAGTCCATGTGACGAGCCAGCTCACCCAGAAAGGGCCCGAGTCTTGCCTAAGGTTGGGTTTAGGGTTTAGGGTTTTAGGTTTTAAGATTCCGTGTTGAGCGTTTGGGGTTTAAGGGTTGGAGCAAATTAGGGTTTGGAGTCTAGGGTCTCGGGTCTTGGGAAGCCCGGAAACTATCATTGTTTGCAGTCTGATTGGGCTTCTCTATACATATTGCTTCACACACTTGCTTGAAAAAAGTCTCAGCAGCAATGTTGAAGCCGTTGCCTGGCGTGCCCAATAGCAGTCTACTCCCGAAGCTCTGCTGCATCATGTCGCCATTGTGCTGCTGCTCGTGCTGCTTGTCTAACGGGATAACTACTCCCAAAGGTGCTTGGAAGGTGTAAAGCATATCCGAAAGTTCACCGCAAGCCCCAGCACCCGCAGTGACGATGCCGTGCCCTTGTGCCAGCTGACAGATCCGCATGACGTTAGTGCGGCCGCCCAGTTTAGCGGATGCGCTTAGTTGACTGTACTTGTGCCAATTGCGGCCGCAGCCGACAACTAGAGTCCTGGGATGCTCCTGAATGTGTCGAAAATAATGCTCCAGAATGGAGCGCCCGCTCAAGTGCGCATAGATGTAGACGATGTGACGAATTGTGTCCTCCGTGGCACCGTCACCATGGACAATGCCCTCGTGCGCCTGTCCTGCCTCTTCACTAGTGATGCGACAGCCGTGCTCAAGCAGAAACTTCACCGCCAACCGACGATCGGCAGCAAAGGAATAGAGCTCCAGGTCCGTACGGTTCAAGCGTCGAAAAGCAGGATCCACAATGTCAACGTGTGCGACACGCAGGCCTTCCCTTCCCATGTTGAGCACTTTGACCAGGAAGGTGCTTCGGATAAGCTTCCCAAGGGTCGACGTCTCAGAGTCTGTAAACAGGCCCGGGTGCATCTTGTACCAGTAATGCCCTGATGTCTTTTCAAAATGGCCTCTGTATGCAGTGATGTCTTCAAGTGCTTGAATGCCAAAGGAGTGCAGCAGCAGGTCCTGGTGGTTCTCATAATCTAAGCCCTGCAGCCGTGGTGGGCCATTGGCTGCCTTCAGCATGCCTGCGCGAAGCTTCAGCGCAGCGGAGGTCAGATTTGGGTCCATGTCCGTAATGACCAAAACCTGATGGGCATTCAAAACTGCCATCCCTCCTGGTAGAGAAAAAACACATATGTGTATATACATATATATATGTATGTGTGTATATATATATATATATACATTTCTAGACTTCCCAAAGGCCCCTAAACCTGTGAACCTCTAACTCTATACCCTCAACTGCGTTCAAAGTCTCAGATACCAGTAGAGGGGTCACAGTTTCGAAGAATTCGAACCTGCGCCTCAGCCGCCGTCTCAGCAAGCAGCACGTCCATCAGAGAGCGCGCTGTGGGAAGGAGACTCGGCCCAAGATCATCCCAAGAGAATGATGCCTGCTCGTTTAGGATTAAGGGTTTGGGTTTAGGGTTTAGGGTTTAGGATTTTGCGATTTAGGCTTTAGGGCTGAGGGTTGAGGGCTTAAGGTTTAATTTTTTGGGCTTAGGGTTGAGGGCTTAAGGTTTAGAGTTTAGGGTGTAGGGCTTAGGGCTGAATTTTAACTTCTTCCCCTTCCCCATAATCTTGGCCAGGATACCCCTTAAAGAAGGTAACCTCTAAACCCTATGTTGACCTGGTAGAACAAGAGCTCTGTGCCTGCGAATCGAAGAGGACGAAGCCACGGTCACAAAGTAACCTGAAGTGAAGGTGGTTGAGGGTTTAGAGTTTAGGATTTAGGGTTTGGGGTTTAGGGTTTAGGGTTTAGGTCTTAGGGTTTAGGGTTTAGGTACCTTAGGTTTCACCCTTAGGTCGTTTTAGAAAACTTTGTAACGGTGCTGGAGGGTCATATATCTAGGCTTTGTCGGGTTATGAAAGACTTTGCATAAGGTAGAAAATATCGGAGTATGAAGAAGTAGATACATAGTCAGGTTGCCCCACCAAAAATCCCTTTACACTTATGGCCCTAGGCACCATAGACCCGAAACCACGAGTCTAATTGTTTTGGCACAAAAGGTGGGCTGAAAGCAAAGACTCCATGCCAACATCAGTAGAGGGGTACCAAACTGCTCTCAGCGCCATTTTGTGGAGATGGTGAATCACAACCCCAGCAAATCTTGCAAAAAAGACCCCAGACTCTATACCTAAATCCTGAACTCAGGACGGCCAAGTCGTGAGGCGCCTATGTGCGTACTTCGCAACATGGTCCCTATGCAATCCCGAATGAGGAGACCCATGCTGGCTTAGCAATCCCTACATATTCCTGGGGTCTCTGGGACTCCAGGCTTTGAGGATCTCCCATGTTACTCTAAGCGCCACATCCTAAATCCCACAACCCTCAACCCACAAAACCCCAAACAGCAAACCTCAAACCCCAAAACAGCTAACCTAAGTCCGCCAAACCCTAAAACCTAAACCCCGAACCGTTCAAAAGCCCCAAGCACCTCTTCCCTAAACCCTAAACCCTAAACCCCAAATCCTAAACCCTGAACCCTAAACCCTTAAAGCCCCAAGCACCTCTTCGCTTCATCACCTCGATATACCTCCGGCCGCGCCACGACCATCTCCCACATGAGCTCCTTAGCAGCTGCACCTGCCTGCTCAGGGTTTAGGGTTTAGGGTTTAGGGAAGAGGTGCTTGGGGTTTAGGGTTTAGGGTGTAGGGCTTAGGGTCCAGAGTTTAGGGTTAGTATAATATAGCCCCAATATACTCCCAATATATACCCTATTATCATATAGTAGTTTCCATTTTCTTTTCCATTATCCCTATATAACCCCTATTGGGTCTATAAACTCACTTGGCCAAGGGCTAGGGGTGACGAGTTCAGGGCTTAGGGTTTAGGGATTATGCATGCTATGGTGTTGGGCTAGGCTGGTTTAATCTAAATAGTTTTAAGGGTTATGTAAGGCTGAGGGCCTGGGTTTAATTTAACGGACTAATGCAGAATGAAATGGAAAATCAATTGGAAAGTGAAGTTAGGGCTTAGGGTGTGTGGGGTTTATGTTGTAGGGTGAACAGAATAATGGGGGCTGAAATGGAAGCTGGGTTACAAACAAGTTTACAACAGCTCAGGGTTTAGGATTGGGTGATTTCCATACATGGTCCCCAATACAGAACCCAATGTATCCCAGTCCTCATTATGGGGACTCCCAAATATGCTACCCCAAATTTCGGGAAAGCCCCATGTATGTTGCTCAGGATTCTAAGCCCTAAACCCTAAACCCGCTTCAGGTTACCTGGGTAGTGTAGAAGCCGGTCACGCTCTTCAGGGCACGTACGAAAATCAGCTGGCAGCGTCGCTTCAGGAGAGGGGAGAGCTTCCCCAAGATACTCTGCGTGTGATCCACCTTGTGCCGCTTTTCCTGGGTTGCTGTTGAGGAACTTAAGTAAAGTTGCTATACTAAAGAAACCGCTATTACCTACTACATATCCCGATTATGGTAAATTAAATTAAGTTCCTTAAGAGCAACCCAGTTTCTTGTGGCACGCTGCCGTCCGAAAGCATCTCACCCTTCCAAGGCTCCGGCATGGAGATCAGCAAAGTCACCCCAGCAAGATTCTCCTCGCCACGGAGATGCTCTGTGAGCACCGCAGTGAGGCGCTCGTGACCACCGCCGGTGGTCGAAAAGCCCAGCACAAAAAGACGCCGGGTGGCCTGCAGCACGGATCTCACTGCAGCCTGTGGACAACTCTCCGACACAGCCATTGCTAAAGCAGACCACAATGTAGGAGGCCTGGGAACCTCGATTCAGCAACCCGCTTGAAGGGGGAGGATATATGCGAGGATTCACGCCTCTACGACATCCTAATTTGGTGCTGGGTATATCAGCACGCCCTTACATACCCCAAGGGCAATACTGCCCCTTACTTTCTGGCCACGTAAACACAAACTATAAACTAGCTTTTGAGGAACCCCCTCTGTGCGCAATGAACATCTGCGCCATTCACCAGGAAACCATGCCAAGAACTCAGCTGAGGGTGAGATGGAGCGTTAAGCATTCGGGTTTAGGGTTTGGGGTTTGGGGTTTAGGGTTTGGGGTTTAGGGTTTGGGGTTTGGGGTTTAGGGTTTGGGGTTTGGGGTTTAGGGTTTCCGAGCTTGTTCAATGAACCTGGTGCCATTTCCTTAGAATTGCTGATTTTTTGAGGATCGCCTGATACCTTTTCATTCCAATGCACCTCCTACGCTCCATCAAACTGCCCCGGAACCCAAAACAAGAGCAGACAAACACAAAGATCAGTTTAAAAAGATTGCTTGGGATTCCATGGGGGTGAGTGAGATTGAAGCTCATGTCTGGACGCAGCGTTGAGGCTGTCCATGGGAAAGAACTACGTTCCCTAACGACACACAACATCTCAGTAGCAAATAAATCTTGAACCCGGGGAATCAAAGCTTGGGGCTAAGGGTTCCAAATTTTGAGACCCCAAATAACACTCGAAAGTAAACCCAAACCTAACCCGAAACCCTGGCGGTTGCCACCTCCACCTGGCAAACTTTTCTCTTATACAATACAGGGTTTATCTCGAGATATTGCTGTATGACCTGATTCCGCACTAGTATGGTCTACAACAAGAACTATACCATGTTGCACGATACTGCGTCGGGTTTCTGTGAGAGCTGTAGCGCGCCCTGCAACATGACACGCCTTGAGCTGGGCAGCTCAGGCTAGCCCTAGACACTACACCCTACTACATCCTAAACCCTACACCCTAAACACTACACCCTGAACCCTATCTCTGAACCCTACATCCTAAACGCCTGCGCAGATGGCTTTCCGGGCTTACCTTCCCTGACTAATCCTCCAAGACGTACACACATGGTAGTTTCCATAAACAGGGGGAGCCCAATATAGACCGGAACCAGATACTACAGTCATTATACAGGGATTGAAAGTTCTGATTACAATTTGAACCTTTGCAGCTGCCGCTGGCACCCTTGCTGAAGGTCCTAAAACTGCTGAAAGAGCGTCAAAGAAAAGAGCAAGAGCGCCTATAAAAATAATGCCTCACAAACAATAACAAAAACAATGCACACGCACAGTGCTTGCAAACACGTCCACATGCTGCAAAGACTGCCTAGCATTTCAAAGATCAAGAAGCCGTCAAGCTAATCCCTGCTCCGATGCAGCTCATTGCCCAACTGCTGCGGGTCACTACAGGCCATTGGGAGTGTTCAACATATCAACGCCAGCTGCTGACCCGTCGACCCGTTTGCACACGCTGCTAAGACTTGTTACAACCCTGTCCTGCCAAGCCCCTCAGCAGAACTTCCTGAACCTCGTTTGGGAATTGCCGTTCAAAGATCGTCCCGAGCCCAGCACATGTCCTTTTTTTGCGCACTGCCGTCACCGCGGTGGCGCCTCGCCTGTACGGCGCACGGCATGCAAGTGCCAATCGCGGGAAAGGAAACTACTGGTGCGAAGTCCAGCATAGCTTTGGATGTCAGTTTTCACTGCTATTAGTACTACTAGTAGTCGTACACCTCCTCTTCCTCCTCCTACTCCTCCTCCTATTACGTCTTCTTCTACTACTACTACTACTACTACTTCTTACTTCTTCTACTCCCACTTTCTTTCCTACCACTCTTACCACTATTATTACCACTGTTACGTACTACTATGATTGCTACTCTTACCGGGTATATTCTAAGAATTCGGCACATGAAACTAAACCAGCCTCGCCTCGCGTGACGTCGTGAATTGCTTATTTTGCCAACCGTGCCTCGCCTCGTTAAGAGGTACTATTAGGGTTATATAGGGGTTTCTATTGGGATAATGGAATACAAAATGGAAACTGCTATATGGAGTTTGAGGGTTTAGGGTTTAAGGCTTCTTATTCTTGATTTCCTTACTGCAAGCCACGCCCACTACTACTCCAAAGCTTACGCCTACGCTTTCGCTTCCTCGTACCTTTACTCTTGCTCTCACTTATTGCTACTAATTACTAATGTTTCGAAGGCTCAAAGACTGCGGGTTTGTTGCTTGGGGTACATCTCCTGATGAGTGAAACAGCCTGTAGCTTGAGGCAAAATTGCATTCGCGAGGTTTGTCGCAGCACCCACAACTCTAACAAGGCCATTTAGTAGGTGGACTTCAGCTACCCCAACTCCTGAACTTTGGACCCTTACACTCATGTGATAGCTATAGGGCCTTTACTATGCAGTTAAGGTAACTAAAGCCCTTTTATTAAACTGTCCGGAGGAACAGGATGTCCGAAGTAGACACAACGGTGGCACATCGAGTTGCAGAAAAGAAGCCTCAGTCCTCCGAATGAGCATCTGAAAACTTAAAAGATTAAAAATCAAACGACCACGAATCAGAACATCGTGTCAGGAGCCCCCTGGCTCTTTTTCACCCGCAAACGGGATTTTGAGAGCATTTTGGTTTTTATTCAGTCCCGCCCGGGGCTAGAAAAAACCGTGCGGTTTTTTTTCCCCCGGCATATTGGTGCACGATCCAGGCGGAATTGTTTTTTCCACCCCCGGGCGGGATTTTTTTAACCCCCGCAGATTTTTTCAACCCCCACCAGGGATTTTTTCTACCCCCGGCAATAAATAGCACCAGCCTCA